AAACTCACATATCTTTCTTTCTATTTTGTCAAATCTGAATTTATTTTTCAAGATTTCACGAGAAAGCATTTTGTTTAATATCTTTATCAATGATATTGATGAGGGAGTCAAGTGCACTCTCAGCAAGTTTGTAGATGATGCCAAGTTGGGCAGGAGTGTTGATCTCCTTGAGGGTGGGTTAGCTCTGCAGAGGAATCTGCATAGGCTGAATCGATGGGTTGCATTTAATTGTATGTCTTCAATAAGACTAAATTCCAGGTGCTCCGTGCGCTTGATAATATCTCCAGGCAGTGGTGTAAGCTCAGGGAAGTGTGGCTGGAAAGTTGCCTGGCAGAAAAGGACTTGAAGGTGCTGGTCGACAGCCAACTGAACATAAGCCAGCAGTGTGCCCAGAGGGCCAAGAAGGTCAATGGCATCCTGGCCTGCATCAGAAATAGCATGGTCAAAAGGTCAAGGGAAGTGATCGTCCCCCTATATGTGGCACTGATGATGCCACATCTTGAGCACTGTACTCAGTTTTGAGCCCCTCAGTACAAGAAAGATATTGAGTTACTGAAACGTGCACAGAAGAGCAACGATGCTGGCAAAGGGACCAAGCCAGGTGAGAAGCAGCTGAGAGAATTGGGCTTATTCAGTCTGGAGAAGAGGAGGCTGAGTGGAGACCACATCACTTTCTTACAACTACTTGAAAGGAGGCTACACTGAGGTGATTGTTGGCCTCTTTACTCGAGGGAATGTGTGGCACCGGGAGAGGTTTCAACTGGATATCAGGATGAATTCATTAGCAGAGAGGTTGGTCAACCTTTGGAACAGGCTTTCCAGGGAGGCAGTGGAGTTGCCATCCCTGGAGATACTTAACAGACATGCGGATGTAGCAGCTGGGGACATGGCTTATTGGTGGACTTGCAGTGTTAGGTTGCTGACTGGACTTGATGATCTTGAATATCTTTTCTAACTTAAATGATTCTCTGATTTTATTATAGACGTGTAATGCTCTCCTTTCAGCCACTCACCTTCAGTTCTATTTCAGAACATTACTTTAGAGCCTTGTAGTAGGGCAGTCATTTGAAAAGGGAAAGTGAGAGCATGAGGAGCTGAAGAGGGTCAAGTACAGCAGGCTTCTTATAGGATTTGAGCAAAAGAGCACAGTTTATATAACCTCAGCAGTGATTATCTGATATGAGCTGCTAGGGGCATTTGCAGAAGCAGAAGTCTAAGCAATTAGATAACTTCCAAGTTAAATGTGAAGGCATACGGTGACCTGAGATGGTCCCAGTGTTAAGCACACACACAAAAATGTGCCTCTGTTTATTTGCCTCAAATATGTCTATGATCTTTACTGGATCAAGTCCAGGGAGAAGTGCTGTAAAACACATATTCTGCTTCTGACCACATTCACAATGCAAACACTGCTCACAGCTCTTAGTACTGTTATTGGCTATGTAGTGTTATTACAGAGACCAGAACAGATCCCAAATATAATGTAAGAAAAATCCTTAAAATTTACATTGAAACTAGATTTAATGTATAAGTTTGACTACACCGTGTCTAACTCTTGCATTATATCCAGTTATCCATTATATTTTCTTAAATAAAAACTGGCACTGGTATATAACTTTGTCACTTTCATTAACATCAATCAGTGTAGATCAGCCAGTTTGCTATTTTTATGTATAAAAATAGAATAACCTTCCAACTCAGCAAATGCTTTTCTTTGCTCTACCATATAACTTCACTGCTGTTAAATAAGAGAAGGCACTACTCACTTTCTTCCTCAAATATTTTTCTGCACTGATGTATCTGTAAATTACTTTATAATTCCCCATTTCCTTTGTTAGCACAAAGTAATTAAACTAATCCATCCTCTGTAAACCTCAGTTGACTCGGTGTCCTTTATTGTCATTGCATCCTTTTTTTTTTTTTTTTTTGGCATTTTTTCTTAACTTCTAATCCTCAAATCTACATCTGAAACTTTGTTTTCCACACCAGTTCTCAGTCATCCTTCGGCTGCAGTCTTTTTTGGCTCTTGCAGCCAACTAGCACAGTGATGAAATCTTGGTTCTCATGAAAACATACTGATAGTCTCCACCTAAATCCATTGTTTACAGAGATGAATTTCAATAACACTTGTGTACAGTCTCCAGTTTCTCATTAAATAAGAAATACTATGATAAGGAAAGGTTTTTCTGCAGGACAACAGAAACAGTCATGGTTTATTAAAGCACTCTGGATGCGGCCTTGCTGCCTCTACAGAAGTCAAAAGGAGGTAAACTCTTTGCATCTTTCCTGAACATGACATCAACCTGCTCTGCACTCAGCCTTTTCATGTAAATAGACCTTGGACCCTCGCATACTGCTAGCATGTCGTGCTGGGTTCAATTCACTTACTGACCACAACGTTCAGTATCTGCTGTATTACATACGAAGATGCAGAACTAATGGTTTCCTGTTGAGAGTGTGTTAACTTGGTGTGCTCCCATAAACACACTACGAAGTATTCAACATCCCATCTCCACAGCTCCTCTTCCATTCCTGGCAAAACTGGAGCCCTAAAAAACCCCACCACAACCCTTAAATGTTTTTATAATCCAACAACAGAGCCATCCTACATTTTGGTTCTGCTCCCAGGACTGTCTGCAGTCTCCGTCTAACCTGGAATTCAGAAATAGTCTAACAGTCAATGACACATAAATACAATTTTAAAGCATCTACATAGATATTGTTTTGCTGGTATTTGTAAATCCTACATTTGGTGCCATTTCATTAACTAGCAGTTAAAGTTCAGTTAACATTAACTAAAACATTACTTTTCAGCACATGCTCATGACCAATAATTCAAGTGCTCCACTGTTAAAGAACCTTTCCTAAACCTGTCATCTTCCTGATCAGATCCTATACTTATTCACGGATGCGGTAGCAAATGAATTATGTATACTACCTTTACTTTCATCTGTGTAAGTCAAAGTATATGCTTTTGGTCTTACACTTTGCAAAGTTCCTGTTTTGACAGTATTCCCTGTGATAATTTACAACTCTGTCAATTTCTACGCTTTGCAATTTAGCTACTGTGCTATCTATTCTCGTAGTGGTTTAAAGTGTTTTCTCATCTCTCCCAGATGAAAAATTGTAGTATAAACCTTGGCTGCTGCCAGCAGCAGCACAGTGTAAGCTGAATATTGTACTGGCCTGACATCTACTTGCCATACTCGCACTCTTTTCCACATTTTAGGTTGCTATTGCACCACTGATACACAATAAAAATGCCAGCAAAATCTAAAAACTTTTAAAGAGAATACAAAATTATTACATAGGCAGTGAAGTATAGACTAATCTCCATTTTCTACAGTTATTCCAAAGCTAGAACAAAATACTAAGAATTTTACCTCACCATTAAACTCTTGGTTCCATTTCAGAGTCCATGTGAAATGTTTCTTTGTCTGAGTGTATGCTTATACATACACCAAAAAGCTGCCACTACACTTTGCATATACAAAAACACCAAAAACACGCCTGCATCTTAAAGAACAACAAAAAAATCTCTACTAGAAGCCCTTACTTCCTTTTTAAAGGCTGTCTTTGAAAATTTAACCTGTTTTTTTGTTTTTTGGTTTTTTTTTGCTTTAGTTATAAGCAACCAGCATCTCTCATAGATGAAGAAATCAGCCATCATCTCTGACAAAAAGAAATTACTGTAGTGGCTGAGCTAAGTGGACAACAGTTTTGCTGCTAGCTCTGCCACTGTGCAAGCTATCCACTCTTCCATTTGCACTATGGGCAAAGCATGACAGACCTTACCTGCTGGGTGTTTTGAGATTGACTTACACCTAGCATTTGTCACAGACAACTATCACTTAACACTAGGCAACCAACCAAAACATTTTTTAAGTGCGCCTACCTGCAATGATACAGGCAAGACTGGACATCCCTTCATCTGTTAGATCTAAAACCTTCAAGTGAAGAAATAAAAGTTTGTACCTAATTGTACTTGATGACAGGATAAAGTTGTGTATTATTAGCCAGGTAATCAGACTTACTGTTAATAGCTGATATGACTCATTGCATGCCAGTGATTTTTACCTCAAGGAGTAAGCAAATTGGTTGAAATTATTAAAAACCAAAATAAAAGACTGATAGAACAGATCAGCCTAAAATTTTTAAAACCATGTATCTGTAGTCTGTAAGAATTCAGTACCAAAACCCATATATCTCAAAAAAAAATTCATTTAACTGCGCTCTTCAGAAGGTTCTGTGCAAACCCTCCAAACATAACTATTAAGGAATCTAATTGGGCATGGAATGAGAATTTAAAATTACGTGCATGAAGCAAGTCATGAGAATGGTCAGCTTTCAGTCTGCATTAAAAATCAATTGCCCTAAGGATTTATATTGAAACAGTATTACTTCAGATATTTGTTAATCTGTAAAGAGAGGCACTGCGCGCTCGCAGCATCTATGGACAATAACAGCACCAGAGTAGAACAATAAAAGATGAAAGTTGGAAGAATAACTCAAGATAATAGTAAACTGCTCATACACTCCAATGTTTTTTTGGACTGGAATTCACAGGAGAAGGATTAATGAAAATTGCACAAAACCAAAGTACTGCAAACATACAGAAAGCTACAAGAATACTGGACAGACAACAGTTGGAGCAGTATTCAAGAGATGATAACATACAGTTACAGAAGGAGGATATATAAGGTCGAGGATATATAACAGACACTTCATTACTTAATAATATCCATGAGAAGATGAGTAATTTTAACGTAGGTTTTGATTTTGCTCTGATTTATCTAATGCTACCAACATAACAACAATAGGATAAGATGAACTTCTGAGGTACAGTACCTTGTAATTCATGTTCCTACAATAGGGAAACATATTGCATCACAAGATCTGATAATTTATTTTAGTTCTGTAGTTTAATGAAGCTACTGTTCTGCACTGCAACTTTCCCATTCTGTATAGGTTGTTTGCACTACAGACTGAATGCAAGCAGATTATATATTTAAAATGTATTTTAATGTATTATTAAAAAAATCCAGAAATGCTTATTTTACACAGATCTAATTTGCATAGCAATTCAAATTACTCTAAGTTCCAAAATGTATTATAATCAACCTAAGCAAATTGTTCAGGTACAATCTGCAGGATGACTCTTATGAAAACAAAGCCAACACCATATAAGTCATCACACACACACAAAAAACCCATTTTGAACTTGAAGTTACTGCTTCCATATAGCTGTAGGAAAAAATATTTATTCTTAAAATGAAGCATACTCGAACATATTTGTATATTTTCTGTTATGGAGTTCGATTTTCCTTGTTCAGTTCCTCATTGCCAACATGGCATTTATGTCCCAAATGAGATTCCGTAACTGATCCATGATCTGCTTCAGTTGCTGATTCTTCAGTTTCAGTTTCTGTGGGAAGATTTTACGAGAAGATTTTTGTCATCAGTTGAAACAGTACACTCAGGATTTCAAGAAAAGTTAGTGTTATGAAATGCTATATGTATCTTTTTGTCAGCTGTCTGTGAGCAATATTAGATAATACATCTTCTTGAAAGCACACTCTTAAAATACAAGAAAGACTCAGAAGTTAAAGACCTTTGTTAGAGAGGAATGCTGTTTCTTTTCACAGCACTCTTTTATCAAAACACTTGATCCCTTCAACAAGAGCAAGCTTGTGGCCATTGGCCCTCTAACCAAAGTCCAAAAGACAGCACTTGATGCAAAGAGAAGGAAGTGAAATTTGAGACCAGAAGAGCTCAGGGAACAGCTAAATTTATGCTAATATGCACTGTACAAGCTGGGTGCTCAGAAAAGCAAGGTATTAAAAGTCAAAGTCTGAAAAACCACAAAGCCAATCAAGCTTTTCTACACCTTCTGCCTACATTAGTCAATTCTGATGAGCTATGTGATACTGTCCTCCCAGGTATGCTGAATGCTGTACAACTGTGTACTTCCTGCAAAAACATCTGAAGGGACAGAAGAGTAGAAAATGCACTTTCATCTGAGGAACCAGAACTTAAAAATTACGTCTACAGAAGATCAGTGCATTAAGCCAATGCAGAATATTCCTAATTGTTCATGTTTCACAGTAATACACATATTTATTATCCAATTTATCCATTTTCCTGTTCAAATCAAAGCTGCCAAGTAATAAGTTAGTGTGTATTGTTAACAACAAGCCCATGCCCTTCATTCCATTCAAATTTGATATAAAGTCAGCCTCATCACATCAGAGATAGAATTCATAAGGGAAGCCCAGATTTCTAAGTAAAGCCAAACCACAGGAAAAACTTGCTGCCATTCAAAATGTCTCAGGTTTTACATCACTTTGTTTCTTCTGTACTACACAAACAGCAATACATTAAAGGAATAGCTAAGCTCAGTAACTAAAGTAATTGTAACAGTGACAAAAAGAAGTAACAAAAAAAGCAGCATACTGAAAATCAGAGCCCTGTCTTTTCAGGTGAACAACAAACCAATGTTTTTTAAGTGTCCAGCTGGTCAGGCTCAGAAAGAAGTCCGGGGGAGGGGGGGGGGGGAAGCCTATTCTTTTCAGACCTGTGAAAAGTCTTAAGAAATATAGTAATAAATTTAGGAGAACACTGCTTTGAGAAAGGGAAATAGTTCTGAACACATTTCAGTGGACACGTTCCCTGGAAGCAGAGCCCACACTCTGACTCCTTTCTGACACCTCAGAAGAAGGTAAAACAGATGTAGGTTTGGAACCGATTTGGAAATTCTAAGCAAGCATTTGATTGACTAAAAACCATTTTAAGTTACAACGTGCATTTCTCTAATCTTTTTCCATTTGCTAATTGAAAACTGCACTATATAGAGCAAAGATTCCTTTCCAAAAGATAAGAGGGAGAACTGAGAGAAGAATGTAGCTATGACAATACTTAAATGACATAATTTTGCTTCCCTGCAAAACATAATGACATAAGAATTCAATGCTTTACAGACTACAAGAGATGAGATAAACAAGCACGTTCACACTTGTGGCATTTAAAAACGCATTTCCATTTCCCACCCTCAACATTTAATCTCAGAGAAATCAAGAAATGTAACATCCAAACAACTAGCTTAATGCAAACTGTCACTCACCGATACCGAGGGCACATCAGTTCATTATTTTCCAAAGCCTTCACCAACAGAAATGAAGGCTGAGCAGTCAGTGATGATTACGTGTTAGACAAAGAAGAACCATTAACCTCTGGTGCTGCAGACTGTTTTCTCTCCATCCCTTTTTAACTGTACTGTTACATGCTCTTCTGTAGATATGCCCGTATGAACTTTGCATAAGTTACATTCAAAAGATTCATTCTATAAGACAATAATTTTCATTTCTTGTGCAACTATTATGAAACAGGATTTTTACGCTAGACAAGTGAACCCCTGAACTGGATTTCATTTGATTTCACAGTGTCTGCAAAAAGGTGAGTAACATATTTTTTATTATATCTATCTGAAGATAATTTTAAGACCTTTTCTTTGGTGTTTTATTTCCTTAGCTTTTCTATTCTACTTCTTGCAGAGTCAGAAAAAACATCTAAGGTGAAGCACCGTCTCTGGATTGCAAGGCTGAGAAAAGAATAAATGGCAAGGGGAAAAGCTCCACTTCAGAGAGCGCAGCATCCTGGCTGAAAAGCTAGATCTTTGTTAGCAGTCTATGCAGTGTGGACCATCGTCTGCCACAGCCTGCTAGCAAGGATCGTGGCATATAATTAGCATGCCCTTCCTACTGGCACTGGCAGTGCTGGTCTCTGTTTAAGGCTCTAACCTTATCCAATGAAGGACATCTCCACTTTGCAGTGGAAGGAGGTGAAATGGCCTTCTTGGGAAACTTACAAGTTCTGAAAGAAGCTTCTGCACTGCTGACAAATTTTCATTTGAACAGATTGCTCGCAAAGTTGTCTCCCACTCCTTCCTCCTTCTCCTGAAATGACTTAGTTGATCTCTGGACTGTTTCTCAGGATTAATGGTTGTATGAAACAAGAAGAGGCACTTCATCCTACATAAATGCTACAGCTTCTGCCTTTATCTGTTTTAAGACAGCACATAACAATTATCTTATTTGAGGTAGTTTGTAACTTAGGCACATTCACCTTATATCTGACAGGCATGTTTCTGCTGTTCACCTATTAGAAAGGTGATCTGACCAAAAAAACAGTCCTGAGGGGTTTTCTCCAGTGATACTTATTTCCAGTGTGATTACCTCTCCGCTTTGACTGATGGCAAATACCAGTGGCAGCATGAGGCAGTTGACAAGGATTACACCCTTTAGCAGCAATATGGACCTCAGTCCTTAGGTCAGGTAGAGCAGTTTCGAAAACGTGAATGTAAGCACAAAAAGCAGTAGGTGAAAAGAAGAGGGAGAACCATAATATCCACCCAGACAGTACCTATCTTTCAAGGAATTCACAATAAAGAACTTGATGTGTTTTGCACAGATCTGGATTCAGTAAATTCAGCTTCGACCAAAATCCATTTTTGACTAAAACTCATTTTTGGTTCACATTCATTTCATTGGAAATCAAAGCTGTCTAGGCTAATCTGCAAATTTCTATCAGAGATGTATCAAAACTTTTATTTGTGAAATCACTGATCCCATCTCTCTTCATATTAAGCTCAGTTATCTTTCAGATTTTAACCCAAACATCACTATGAGTCATTATTCTGTACCTAATTTATTTGTTAAAATTCTCTTCTTCTTCAGCCTAAGATAATGATGTGGAAGAGTAAGACTACATTCCAGCTGACACCTGTAAAGACATCAAACGTATGTGTTTGTGCTTCAAAGGCATCTCTTCTGCTTGACAAAAAAATACTATGCCAGCCATAGTTTATTCCAGCTTTGTCAGAAACCTTTTTCAAAAGAGCCCTTCACAATGAAATCTCTAAGGCAAGGAGGTGGGAAAACAGTTTTGTAGTCAAAGGACTCACAACACTATGTGTAAAGGGCAGAAAAAAGCTGTAAGGGAAAAAGTGAATCAGTACTTTGCTCCAACTCTCTTGAAGCTTTCAGGTGATGTTCTAAATTATGGCCATTCAATTTATATTAAAGAACACTTTCGATCATAATAAACACACACATATGGCTATTCATGTATTTTTCAAGTGGTTTAGAAGAGTACTCATTGTTAACACACTAACTTCTGGGCAATTAAATATAATGTATTCATCATTCATTATCTGCAACTTTTTCTGATCTTGTTCTCAGACAACTGTTCTATCCTTCCTGGAAATGAGAAACTGAGTTTTCAGTCTCTCCCTAGCCTTACAGTGAGTAGGAAAATGGCTCATGCTCCTGACAACAGCAGGGACAACAGTGACAGCTTGTGTTCCACTCCATGCTCAACATGCTACACGTATTGAGCCATACAGCAAAGCCATGTATCCATTGCTCTGCTGCTCAAAGAGAGATAAGAGTGTCCATTAAAACAGTTTAACGTTTCCTTCACACTAATTAACTACCTAATGAAGATTATAGAAAAGACAAAGCTAGATTCTTCTTGAATGTGCACAGCAAAAGGATGAGGGGCAGTAGGCAAAAATTCACAAAGCTACTGGATATCCACCTGAGTAACTGGATCTATAATAGTTGGCCCTGCTTTGACCTAGGGATTGAACTAGACACTAAGGCTAAATTCTCTGTCCTTGCAGACAGCCATTTTGGTACCCAAAACAGCAGGAAAACATGCTCAGTGCAGACTGATGTGCTGAGACAGTGTCCAAAGAAACAATTCTTCCTCTCTTGCTGAAGTGTTCTTTGGTACACACTCTTATCTGGGGTGAAAAGGATCCCACAACTACAAAATAAGAAATACAAATAAAGGTAAATACTGTGACAGATAGTTTTAAAAGAAATCAAGTTTCTACATAGGCAAAAGTAGTTTTTAGGCAAAATTCTTCCCTGAAGAGATAGGATAGTTGCAAACTGCTGTCATATGAAAGGACTCCACAAAACAACATTGGTTCCAGTGCACAAGGGTTTCATTATCAAAAAAGCCCCGAGGTAAATTCATAGCAACTTAACTCAAAAGGTTGCAGATTGTCTTTCCCACTCCTAGTAAGATCATGGTTAGCCAGTTAGCAAAGATTAATTAAAAATATCTAGCATAATTATTTTCAAAAGGGCCACCTGCAGAATCTAAAAAAGCCCAAAGCTGCATTTGCTCCATTTCTAAAAAAAGCAGTAAAAAAAGACTGTCCATAATGCAGCAACACAGATTACAACATTCTCGGTCTGTGATTTGATATTTTCTGCTGTCTCTCCTATCAAATATACTACAAAACATCTTAAAAATATTACAGACGATGCTGTATTGTGAAGGCAAGAAACCTGTAGGTATAATATTATATACAGACTATAAAAAAAAATATGAAGGCAATAGAGAAAAAATTTGCAATAGCAGCTAAAATGCCATTTGCTGCTGCAAACAGTAATTATATTCACTAAAAACTTACAGGAATTCTACTAGCAAAACAGTGCAAATACTACATTGATACTGGAACAGTAAACTATTTATTACAGAAAAAGAGTGAAATTCCTCACCAATTTCCAACTGGAAAGCAAATACTGATACCTGGAGTACTGCGTTCAGGCTTGGGGCTCCCAGCACAGGAAGGATGCAGAGTTGTAGGAGTGAGCCCAGAGGAGGGCTACAAATCATAGTGGGTTGGAAGGCACTGGTTCATCTAGTTCCAGCTCCCCTGCTACAGGCAGGGACACCTCCCACTAGACCACACTGCTCAAAGCCCCATCCAGCCAGATCACAAAGGGGCTGGAGCACCTGTACTATGAAAAAGGGTTGAAGGAGCTGGGCTTGTTTAGTTTGGAGAAGGCTATTAGGAGACCTCACTCCAGCCTTCCAGTATTTTAAAGGAGCTCACAAGCAGGAGGGAGCCTGACTTTTACATGGTCTAATAGTGACAGAACAAGGGGGAGTCACTTTAAATTAAAAAGGGAAAAAAATAGGTTAGATGTTAGGAAGAAATTCTTAACTCAGAGAATAATGAGGCACTGGCACAGGCTGCCCAAGGAAGTTGTGAATATACCACCCATGGAAGCATTCAGGGCCAGGTTGGATGGGGCCCTGGGCAGCCTGATCCTAGTGAGTGGCAGCCCTGCCCATGGCAGGAGGTTGGACCTAGATGATCTTCATCATTCCTTCCAAAGCCATTCTATGACTCTATTATAAAGAAATAGCCAAGAGTTGTGGGAAGTGCAGGAAATAATTGTTTCATACAAAAGGTAGAGTTAGTGGGTACAAACAATATGCATTTTTCGTTTTTCTTACAATAGTTGTGCACAGTTATAAGCATTCTGTTCTTGTATGGCTAAAGTCTCCCTCAATTTACATTTAATAGGTTTCATCTTAAGTTACAGTTGTTAGATATTATTGAATTGCTAGGACAGAAATTCATTACCTTGTAAACTGATCAATACTTTTAATTAATGGACAAGTACTTCTTAGCCAATATTAGGTGATTAAATATTCTGACCTAAAAGTTAAGTCTAATACAGCAGATTAAATAAATAAGATGTCACTGTGTTAAACTGATATCAAAAACAACTGCAGTTTTGGTACTCTGCTACATCAACAGGTTCTTCTACCCTAAGAGTGAATGGTAAATACAGGAAGTATGGGATGGTTCCCACTTCCTTAAGTGAGGCTGCCCCTCTTTCCAGAGAGCTGCCGGAGCAAACCAGAACTGTACAGTTTCAAGTCAGTGATTCCTGAAAGGGGGTAAGTTTTTGTGTGAGCATGAAACAAACCTTTATATTATCTACTAGTTTTGTTTGTGCTTCTCACTGGGAGGTGGTGTTCTTCAAACACACACAGGTATCACTAGAAAGACCAGACTGCCTGGGAAGTCAAGGCAGGACTTAAGCAACCCATGGAAGGCCCAACAATTCCGATGTCTCAATAATGCTAAAGCACTGGGTTATGCTGTTCATAGCAAACAGAGCGAGATGCGATCAGGACAAGCAGCTGAAGGGAGAAAAGATAGTGAGTGAAGATGTAAAAAGCTTCTTCATCTGTCAATTGGTGTTCATGTCCCAGCATTTTCGTCAACGCTTTATGTTACTGAAATTTTGTTGAAAGAAATTAACCAAAATTGAATTGGAGATGAATGCTACAATTACACAGGACTGAAAAGCTATCAGGAATGCCAGTAAAGCAACAGAGAAGGCTATTTAAGCAGCCAGAATCAGAAATTAGATTAATATGATTCTACCTTTTTTTTTTCTTGTGTGTGAAAATATGGTTTGCGTTATTTCTAGTCATAAAACATTTAGCATTTCCCCAAACTGCAGTATATTACAATTTGAATTTTGAAATTGGAAAAAGAAAATAATAATTTTTAAAAGTGCAGCTTGAAAACAAGAGGCTTCAATTTCCCTTGCAGCACATAAGCATTTTTTCACAAAAATACTACTGAATGTTCAACTATCTTCTTAAAATTTATTGTTGAAAATCTGAAAATTATGTTTAGGCACTTACATGCAAATACTGGATTTCAGTCCAGATTTATGCGATGGCTTGAATACATTTTTAATTGCTAACTTACTACTAATGCTCCTGTAACATCATTAACCTTCTTAAGATTTAAAACCCATCATAAACATTTATGAAATTCACTTCCCAAGATCACACCAGGGAGGTTTAAAAACACATTAGCATACAAGTACAACAACAAGGGCAAAACATGTCATAAAACTATCAAAAACATATCAAATATGGACAGTTAAGCTTATTAGCACTTAAAGATTGCAAATAAATGTGCATAAATTCTCAGGGTAACATTACATACAATATAATGCATACCACCCTGCTACATCAGCACTGAACAGAAAGAACACAACAGGAAAGCAGACAACTGCTTTTCTCCAAATTCACACAGTACTCATTTTAGCCTGTACAATATACATGAATTTTTCTAAATGAATGGGTTATGAAGAGTTTGATACATCTTTAACTGTTGAAGACAAATGCAAATGTTGAAAATAATTCAAAAGCTGTAAATCCAGTGATAATTCTCTCCAAAAATATTTTAGACAGTCACCTGTTTTGCTCAGTTCTTTTTGTAGATTATGGCTGCTTTTTACCAAGCACTTACAGATATTACTGCCACACAAATACTTAGTTAATCCTATCTTTGTACTTTACAGATGGCAGGAACAATGTTTAATGTTATGATCTGTTAAAAGGACTTATATTTAATCTCAATGCAACATTATCATCTACTACAGCATATTTATTTTTAGATTTATATCTGTCTATATTAATTGTACTCAATTGCAAACTGCCACTCAAACTGAAAATTTAACAGCCTCTTTATCATATAGTACATTTTTTCTGAATGTGTCAAGATTCAATAAATGCTGTACTTCACAAAAGAAATGCACTTCCTCACATTGTCAAAATACAGGAAGGAGCCCAGAAAATCCTCTACCAACACACATCATAATTGTGATAATACTTACACATCTGATGTCTTATATCCATTTATTAATGCATTTGCCTAATGCATATTTAGAATTCAAGTAAGGTACCTTATCTCCATCTGTATTGCCTGTATCTACTGGGTTACCATGACCTCGATATAAAGCATTGATTGTCCCCCTCTACTTTGCCATAACAAGGGTCTGAATTGCAGCACTGCAGGAAGAATGGAGAGTTGTAGGAGCAGGTCCACAAAGATGATCAAAGCACCTCTACTATGAAGAAAGACTGAGGGAGCTGGGCTTGTTTAGCTTGGAGAGGATGAGCTCTGAGCAGACCTCACTGCAGCCTTCCAGCACTCAAAGGGTGCTTATAAGCAGGAGGGAGCCCAATTTTTTTTACCAGTCTAATAGTGACAGAACAAGGGGGAATAGCTTTAAACTAAAAAGGGAAAAATTAGGTTAGATGTTACTAAGAAATTCTTAACTCAGAGAGTGGTGAGGCACTGGCACAGGTTGCCCAAAGAATCTGTAGATGTTCCTTCCATGGAGGCCAGATTGAACAGGGCCCTGAGCATCCTGATCTAGTGGGTGGCAACCCTGCCATGGCAGGAGGGCTGCAAGTGGATGCTCTTAGGTCCCTTCCAACCTAAGTCGTTCTATGATTCTGTGAATACTCAGAAGAATACATACTGTTTTAAAAGGAGTCATAAGTTAAAATTGTTATATTACCTAAAACCTACAGTAGCCAGTGCTGCAGCTAAAAAAAAAATTGTTTAACAAAACTAATTCTAAAATAGTTATGTGGCAGTCATCACACATATGGTCTTTAGTACAGCAGTCTAGAAACCTAGGCTTTGTAATGTCAAAGTGACGTTTCCTGTTTTACACAAATTAATTTCAACTTCCTTACCTTATTTACTTCCATGATTTCCCTTCTCTCTTCACTAGCAAAACGAAGCTGACTAGCAGCACCACGATCATCATGCTTGGAGCCATCTTCTTCAACATATGGAATAAGTTGCTAAGAAGACAAAAAAGGTCAGCTTTTAAAAAGAAGAAAAAAGGACAAAAAGCCTGAAAAGGGGAGGTACTAACAGTTTCCTTCAAAGGTTCAAACATCCTGAACAGAAAGAAGTGCAGACAGGCATACTTCATCACCTCAAAACCAGCAGCCTCACAATGGCCTCAGTCAGTTCTGTGCTTCAAAAAGATACGACAGCACATATTGTCACACCTAGACTGCAGGCAGAGCTCAGTATTAACATTTTAAGAGGTCAATCACAGGTAACCTTGGATTTTTGAACTCTATAGACTGTGATTTTAAAGCTTACTGCTCCACACTATGAAATAACACAAACACGAAGTTATCATCATTATCAAGTATTTTAGAGATGTCCCAAACATAATTTATGACAGACTTTACACATGGAGATTAAATACTTGGTTAATACCCTAATTATGACTTTCTATTTTATTGGTTTTCTGTTTGGCTGTTCTTAAGATCAGGCCCACATTTATCTAATAGGAATTTCTCCATAGGGATTTTCCACTGTAATCTCCTCAAGCACACAATGCGCTGCATTTTTTTGTAAGCTTTTGAGAAGTCAAGATCTTCAGTAAAGAGTTTCTAAATGAATATCAGTATGTTCTTGATCAAAAAAATTTTTTTAAAGACCCAGGAAATGTACTAGCTACAAAACACATACATGCATTGTGCCAAACTCTTCCAAAGTAACACCTTGTTCAAAAATAGTTATAACGTACTTACAATATAAACATCACATACACACATGGAGTCTGTTGAATTTTCTGTCCTTAACTGAGAAAAGCTAAAGCTGGTAGCAAAAGTACACCCTTGATCAAATCTACATACTACAGACAAATGAAATATTAGTAAGTGATGCAAATGAGCAAGACAGTTCAAAAGTCAGGGAACAGGTTGCTGATAGAATGCATATTAACTTGTTACTTAGGTTGAGGTGTAATACGAAGCATTCAGCAGCAACCTTCAGCATTCTGCTGAAAACTCTGACTTAGCTCTGAAAATCATATTTTCTTCCACATATGCTTTTGGAGGCCACGTTCATTAAACTTATTGAAATGGACAAAGAATGCCGTGTTACCCTCTGCCCTGTAAAGCAAAATAGCATAGCTATTAAACACTCTTGGAAAAAGCTCCTCCTCTTTCTTAAGGAAAAATAATGCCCTGAAATAGAATGTCTCCTTTGAAAACCTCCCATCTGTAAGAAAAGCTCTGAATTCAAATAAAGAACTACACCTAACACACAAATAAAGCAGTTCGCTCTAGTGAGAGAATTCTGTAACTGTATCTCCTTCACAACAATCTTACAGCTTATTATGTTGGCTAAAAGGAAGTTGATAAGATCATCTATTAAACTAGCAGTACACATTAATGAAAGAAATATAATATTTTTATACTGTTAGTAGACACTAACTTAATTGATGGAAGGTAATGACACAATTTCTTGCCATAAACAAGAAGCAAACAGGAAAAAAGAGACAGAACAAAGTGGTTTTGGTAGTGCAAGTTAAGAAAGGTGTAACATCAACCTAAATTTTATAGCCTGGGAATTCAACGGACTCACCTTGGGGTTTCTGCCTTAAGTGGCAGCAAACTAACAAACTGCTGCACACCCTTTGTAATACAGCAGATAACATGTAGATAAATCTATCCCAATGCTATTTCATAGAAAGTAAGGAGTTACCTTCCTAATCTTAAAATAACCACTGAAGTGGGTATCTAACTAAGCATTTACTACCGACTACTCAGAATAAAGTACAATGACAACACTGTCACTGATTAGCAGCAGTGATGTTCAAAATCACTTCCCAGTGTCAGGGAAGAAGACAGGCTGAGGAGCTATAGACGTATATATATTTTAAAAGCAACAAAATCTAAGCAAAAATTGAAGTATTTAAGACAAGTGGATCGGTGACAATGGAATTGCACATGTTTTCAGACATCAGTCATGCTCTTGCAGCCCAGAAAGCCAACCATGTCCTAGGCTACGAAAAAAGAAGCATGGCCAGCAGTGCAAGGGAGGTGATCCTGCCCTTCTGCTCTGCACTGGAGAGGTCTCACCTGCATCCAGATGAGGAATCCTCAGCCCAGGAGAGATGTGGACTTGTTGGAGTGCATCCTGAGGAGGGCCACAAAAATGATTCAAAGGATGGAACACTTCTCCTATGAGGACAGGCTGAGAGAGCTGGGGCTGGAGAAGAGAAGGCTCTGGGAAGACCTGAAAGCAGCCTTTCAGTATCTAAAGAGGAGCTACAGGAAAGAAGAGGACAGACTCTGAAGCAGGGTCTGTGGTGACAGAAGAAGGGGAAACGACTTCAAGCTCAAAGAGGGGAGATTTAAGTTAGATATACAGAAAAAATTCTTTTTACAGTGAGGGTGATAAGGAACTGGAACAGGTTGCCCAGAGATATGGTAGATGCCCCATTCCTGGAGACATTCAAGGTGAAGCTGGATCAGGACTGGGCAACCTGGCCTGGCTGTGGATGTCCCTGTTCACTGCAAGAGAGCTGGACTAGATGGCCCTTAGAGGTCCGTTCCAACTCTAAGGATTCTATGATTTTATGAATTACTACAGAATTAGATCATGGGCCACAGAATAACTGCCTGTCTTGTTCAGTGCAGTATCATTAAGAAGGCTAATAATTGGCAGTAAGGAGGGAAGAACAGTGTACATACATTCCACTAATGACTTAGAAACAGGGAGTCAGTTAAGTAAAAGAAAAAAGCCATTAAGTAATTTGACTGTTTAAAAAACAAGTTTGTCTATATTCGTTAAAGATAAGGTTAGAATGTCAAGCCGTTTAACAATATGATTGAGAATATCAGTGAAAATTTGAAATAAGAATTTAAGAAACATAATAAGAGAAATGATGTGACACTTTCATTCACCCTGACATGAGGAAAGTGAGCATTCTGTTAACTTCACAGCAACAAATACTAAGTCACTAAAAGGAAAAAGAATTGCAACTACTGCAATTGTTTCACCACAGACTTACTCCACTAAAACAACCTCTTAAAAGTAAAACTTCCCCTGACCCTTTTTTTCCCCTAGAGGAAAAAAAACTGGTGAGTGCACAAAGCCTGAGGTAAACAGCTAGGATTTTAAACGAAGTCTGACCTGTAATTTGTAGATATAGAAAGATACTCACTTCTATGGGAATAGGATCGAGTCCAGCACAGTTTTCATTACATTTGTCATAGACTAATCTCAGTTTTCTGAAGAGTATTGATAGCTGACGGAGATGCTCCTGTAGTTTTCCCAGTCTGTCTTGATATGTTCCAGTATGATAAGTTACACCATTTGGCAACTTCAGAGAACCAAAGCACAAAAGAGTTATAAATATTTTTTCTCTTATAGGAAATAAAAAAATCTAAGACAAATGAGAGATTTTTTGTGCATTCTACAATAAGACCATCACAATATTCTCACAGTCTGAAATTTCTATTTTCTTTATCTGTAAAAATCTGAATCTTATTTGCCCATCTCACATGCCAAACCACTGCTCTCAAACAGCTTCATGTCTTCCACATCCTGATCATTATAGACCACTGTAACTTTCACTGTAACTTTTCACTGAGAAACTTTCTGCCTGAACCCAGGTCACATTTCAGACAATCAATGCGAATTCCAAGTAATACTCTGTGTATCTACATAAAATAATTACAGAAGGAAATTTCAGGAGACATGAAAAAACAGGGAAAAAGGGAACTGGAGTGATTACTTGCATGTTTGTCTCTGAAGTTGAGAGCATGCTGTCAACAGAGAAACATGAAAGAAGTTTGTACATTCTCTTCAGTACGTAATCAAGAGGATTCTGTCCACTTTAATAATGAATAGAATGTCACAACATTTTAAGTGGAAAATACTACAGAAGAATGATATCACTGGTCAATGACAACTCCTTTAAAATCACTCCATAGAGGTTAACAAAAACAGAGAAACATAAACATCATATAAATACATTTTGCTATTAACTAAACAGTTATCTTCCCCTTATCTCCAAATTGGAGGGATGTGGATTTGATGGGGGGACCACTCAGTGCATAAAAAAAACTCGTTGGAAGGCCACAGACAGGGAGTGGTCATCAATGCTCTATGTCCAGGTGGAGGCTGGTAACAAGCAGCATCCCCCAGGGGTCTGTCTTGGGACCAGTGCTCTCTAACATCTTTATCAATGACATTGATGACAGAATCGAGTGCACCTTCAGCAAGTTTGCTGACAACACCAAGCTGAATGGTGCAGTGGACACGGTAGAAGGAAGGAATGACATTCAGAGGGACCTCAACAGGCTAGAAAGCTGGGCTCAGGTGAACCTGACGAGGTTCAACACGGCAAAGTGCAAAGTTTTGCACTTGGGCCAGATGAATCCCAGGCATCCATACAGACTGGAAGGAGAGGTCCTTGAGAGCAGCCCTGAGGAGAAGGATCTGGGGGTCCAGATGGATGAAAAACTCAACATGAGCCAGCAGTGTGCCCTTGCGGCTCAGAAGGCAAATGGTATCCTGGGCTCCATCAGAAGAGGGGTGGCCAGCAGGGACAGGGAGGTGATTGTCCCCCTCTACTCTGCTCTTGTGAGGCCCCATCTGGAGTACTGTGTCCAGGTCTGGAGCCCCCAGTACAAGAAAGACAGAGAGCTGTTGGAGAGGGTCCAGAGGAGAGCCACAAAGATGATCAGGGGACTGGAGCACCTCCCCTATGAAGACAGGCTGAAGGAGCTGGGCTTGTTCAGCCCGGAGGAGAGAAGGCTGCGGGGTGACCTCATTGCAGCCTTTCAGTACCTAAAGGGAGCCTTAAAACAGGAGGGGAGTCAACTCTTTGAAAGGGTAGATAACTGCAGGACAAGGGGAAATGGTTTTAAGTTGAGGGAAGGGAGATTTAGGTTGGACATCAGGGGGAAATTCTTTACAGAGAGAGTGGTGAGGTGCTGGAACAGGCTGCCCAGAGAGGTGGTGGATGCCCCGTCCCTGGAGGTGTTCAAGGCCAGACTGGATGGCGCCCTGGGCAGCCTGGTCTAGCATTAAATGGGGAGGTTGATGGCCCTGCCCGTGGCAGGGGGGTTGGAGATTCATGATCTTTGAGGTCCCTTCCAACCCTGGCCATTTTGTGATTCTGTGATTAATATATTTCTGTGAAAAAGTCATTAAGTACATTTGGAATATATTTACTGTGGTAGAAATGACAATTTAGCATTTGTGAATGTTCTCCATGTTTACTAAATACACAGGAACAGCCAAATGTATTCAGAGTTGTATATGTGTCTCCAACCAATCCCTTTTTCAAGACAGTTTAGCCTATTAATGTATTTAAATGCCCCAAACTATCTTCGTGTGCACACAATCACTTAGTAGTAAAAACACGAGAAGGGAACTGATGATCACCAAATTAGAAATAAAAAAAAAAGTTTTCTCACCTGCATGTTCCTCAGTAACTGGAAGATTTCCATGGTTCGAAACACAATGTCCTGCACGGTCTCCTGGCCGATACGGCACAGAGATGCTGTATTGACCTCCCTAGCTGCCTGAGCCTGCGTTCCTGAGAATGCACCGGGAGGCATCCCCGCCCCGGCCAGCGGTGGGGTTGACATCTCTGGATGCCAACGGGTCCCACTGAACCAACCTGCACACAGATAAGACAACGATGAAGTATTTGTCTGAGACTATTCTAACAAACAAACTTCTTACCGTGGCTATACTTCCTCTGCTCAACAGGTCGTCTTGTCTGAGACAAAACCACTCAACAAATATTAGAGGGCTCTGTGACATCCCTTGGCTTCGGACAGGGCTCCTTAAATCATCAAGGTTTTCCGGGCCTCACGGAGCTGCACGCGGGGTCCTGCCACAGTGCTACATGGCGATACGCAGGGCTGCCCGATTTCACACGCGCAGCTCTCGGCTCTCCCGCCCCGCCACCCAAACCGCAGCCTGGGGGCCGCTGTCCTGGCATCGCTCGGCGGCTACAGGCCCGTACTGGACAAGCAGGCCAGCCAGCGGCCGCCCAGGCGGTACTCGAGGAACCGCGCGGGCGGATCGAGACAGACACAGCGCTAAGGCCGCCCTCGGCGCCGAGCGGCGACCGTTACTCACAGGACCGGAGAAAGCCGGGGCGCCGCGTCGCCGTGGAAACGCGGAGACGGAAGCAGTGTGCGGCGCCCGGAAGAGCGGGCCACACGAGGCGGAAGTGACGTCACGGCAGCGGGGCGGGGCTGGCTGGCTGGCTGCGGCTGCTGCTCTGGCATTGGGCAGGTGGCTGAGGCTGGGCGGGTTCACGCTTGTGGCGCAGGTTTTGTATCGAAGGGGAGCGGCTGGGCAAACTGCTTTTGGTTGGTCACGTTGGGAAATTGCTGGTTACGTACTATCCGTTTATAGGTGTACCACTGCACTTCTTGTGTAGGTATATTTTCACCCGCATAGAAACGCCTTCTGGTTTCACAGTATTTGAATGCATATAAGATGCTTCTCTGTTGTCTGCCCTGGCTGCTTAGGCTATGCTAAGGTAGTTCATAGAATCGTAGAATCGTTTGAGTTGGAAGGGAGCCTTAAAGCCCATTAGTGCAGCTCCCCTGCTATGAGCAGGGACACCTACAGCTCCATCAGGTGCTCAGGGCGCAGCCCAGTTTGTCTCCAGGGATGGAGCGTCTGCCACCTCTCCGTGCAACCTGTCCCAGTGTCTCACCACACTTGTCATAACAACCTTCCTCCTTATATCCGATTGAAATCTCACATCTTTTAGGTTGAAACTAATTTCCCTTTTTCCTATCAAAACAAGAAGTTGGTCCTGTTTCGAAGCACAAACAGTGATTCCTGTGCAATGAAAAAGAAACTCCATCTAAAAGACATAGGGCAAAGTTTGTGAGGGCTGGTAGGTATTCAGAAATCAATGCATTACATGGTATTTATTGTCTGTCTTTATAATTGAAAGTAAATTTCTTCACAAGCAAAAAATGGGGTCAAAGTTTGTCTTTTTGCGTTAATGTCTTACCTAAAACTCTGTTTTTGATGATAAGAACCTGAAATGCAGAAGAGGGCATTTAAAGTAGTTGTACTGTAGTAGCTGTAATAAAAATTATGTTATGAATGATCTTTTGTACAAAATGCATTGCATTTGTAGTGCTGTAAAAAAAAAAAAAAAAAAAAAAAAAAAAACAATAAAAAGCCAGAAATTACTCATAATATACCACCCTTGTTTAAGAAAGAAGGAACATTCAGGGACAGAACTGTACAATGTCAGAGACATTTTGCTGCAGAAAGCATTTCTTTTTCCTTCAGATTAATGAGGGGAAACACCACCCCATTGCTTAAACTGAAGTTTTTGTTGCCTGGCTACATTCTCTTTGTAGCATGCTCTTTTAGCCAAGGCACAATGTAAATAATTATGAAGTATTTTAACAAAATTTTAACATAAGAAAAAAAAAAACAACAAAAGGAGTGTCTTAAACTGACTGAAAAAAAATTGCTCATAAAAATGAGAGGGAGATATTTTCAGACAGCAAAAGAATATCCCACTGTGTCTGGCTAGACAACGCATGGGAAAAGCAGCCCCCAGAGAATTTCTAAGGGCTTATGTGAAGGCTTGCATCTCAGTTTACTGTACATTAAGGAAATGATGCAAGAACTGTTCAAGAGCTGAGCACAAAGGATAATGTTTTCCTTTTTTGATTGTGTGCCCAAGAGCTCTGTTCACACTGCTTAACTTGCTGCTCCAAATCCAATGGCATCTTAAGTTCCAGAGAGTAATGAGCGATTCAGACCACCTACTGTTCAGTGCTGCCAGACACAGGCTCCATGTACAGTCAAATACTAAAGTATATGACTGCTACTTGCAGTAGGCAGTTGAAATGTAGAGCCAAGTCTGCATGCAAAGAGTGCTGAAGAATGTTGCTAGGGGACCTTCACGTTCTTCACTGCTGATCTATGGAGCCATCTAAGTCTGATTTTTCACTACTAGAAGGAATCTCCTTTCAGATAAGGAATGTTTTTATGGTTGGATGAGAAAAAAGATGAATATACATTTTGCTTTCTAAAAAAATCAGTTAAGCTGTCTTTGTGTGTCTTCAGTTTGGTCTTGGACCAAACTACTTTCATCTGGAAGGTGTCCAAATCAGACAGCTCATCTTTCACATCCGTTTCAGTTTCTGTGGCATCAGTTCAACCAGTGTCTTAGGATGCTGCCAACTACTACACAGTATCAAGTCCTTGTTTTCTCTCTTCCTACACAGGGTTGTAGAGAAGCTAACAAAAAACTAACAGAGAGCATGCATCTACACAGGATCTTCTAGTCCTCTGAAGTTTAAATCAAATTTCTAATTAGAACTTTTTGAACAGTAACTAGTTCAGACGTTATCATTTTCAAAGTAATAATAAGTTATGATACTGTTGTATTTTAAGAGATTCTAACTCAAACCATGAGTAACTACAAAGTTTGTGCGGCTGTGTTTTATCAACAAAGCAAAAATACTCAATACAGAGGTAAGAGAATACTTTGTTTTCTTTCAATTTTCTGTAAAACAGCGCTTGCAAGGCAGCATGAATCACTCTATTTAAAAGTAAACAGAAGTATTGGAATTCCTGGATCATCATTTGTTTTGCTTGTGTAAAGAAAAGTATGCACACTCTCAGGTTCCCCTCGTGGTATTTCTTAGCAGCAGTGCTTTGATACCGCTTCCAGAGTGACAGATGGGCTTTGGGGAAAAGTGTTAACCAGGAAAGGACTTTCATTCTCAGTCCTGTCCCATTCTGTGTTTATGTGTGGATTCAAGAAAAAATAATGGGACTTTCTGGAACCTTAGCCAACAATAAACAGGCAAGGCACAATTTTATTGTTACCAAGCTGTGATAGATAACAGCACAGCACATAAATTTTTTAGTGTATTTGTGGCCAAAACAGACAGTAAAACTGGGTGGAGTTTAATTCAACAAAGATTGCATTTATAGGACAAAGGAAGCATTTAAGGACTGTGATTAGGTGTGATGGATTGTGGGGTTTTTGTGTGTCATGTGGGTTTGGAGTGTTGGTTATTTTTCCCATAGTGTTGTTTTCTCCAGCCAAACAAGCATCTCCATCAACTGTGAAGGCAACAGCTTAGAGGGAGCCAGGACCATCCGTGATAGTGCTAGACTGAATGAGATAAATCACATCAGCTGGAAGTCCAAAGCATCAGAGCACAGAGTGTAATCCATGACTGTCTGATAGAGGATTGATACAGCAGTTATCTGGATGGAGGAGAAGCTGTGGATCGAGCAGTTATAACAACTCTGCCATTGTGTGATTCTATCGTGCAACTCTTTGGTGCTGCGGATGGTAAAAGGACTGGAAGAGATCAATGTGGAAGCCTCCCTGCTTGCTTCTTTTCTCCTTCGTCCTCCATAGTATCCTGTGTGTTCATGGAAGCAACTTCAATGAACAAGTTTATCTGTATTTGCCCTGTGTTGATGGTGCATTCTGCTGAGGGTGAGAGATGCAGGCAGTAACCAAATTCAGTGCTTTTACCATAGCCAAGCCTCTGCATGTTCACAGAGTACACAGAATGATTTGCAAAACTGAATTTCAGAAAGGCCTTATGATGTTCCCTTAGATATTGTCAGGACCTGCATTACCTGCATAACTAAGTCACATCCATTTCCCACACTATGAAAACATGGTAAATTTTACGAGCTTTGTCAGATTATAGCTGTCAGGTAAGTGTGATAGTTCAATGTACATTTGGTGAGCTTAACAGATGATGCAGCTTGCTTTCTTTTTGTCCTTTTGTAGCAGATACTGCAGTTCCATTTCTTGATCCTAGCAGGATCATTACATCATATATTCTCTACCTCTTCAAAGTTTTCTTTTTGACTTTCACTTCAGAAATATCATCCTTGGACTATTTCATGCTTCTTTTAACACTTGCAATCATGCCACAAAAAGTCAGAAAGTGTTTTTATTGGTCGTCCACAGCACCTAAGAACTAGTTTCATCTTCCAGTTTTGGTATGAAGAATGTTTACATGGTAGACCATTATGCCCAGTAGTCTGTATTATCAGAGAATCATAGAATCAGTCACAGAATCATAGAATGGCCTGGGTTGAAAAGGGTCACAATGATCATCTAGTTTAAACCCCCCTGCTATGTGCAGGGTTGCCAAACACCAGACCAGGCTGCCCAAAGCAACATCCAACCTGGCCCTGAATGCCTCCAGGGATGGGGCATCCACAACCTCTCTGGGCAACCTGTTCCAGGGTGTCACCACCCTCTGAGTGAGAAACGTCCTCCTAATATCTAACCTAAACCTCCCCTCTCAATTTAAGACCATTCCCCCTTGTCCTATCACTATCCACCCTTGTAAACAGTTGTATTCTCAGTGTGATAGTGACGGAAGAGTAAAGAAAGGATTAAAAGGAAGTGCCCGTTTATTTTGCAACCATTCAGTTGCTTGTCTTTGAAGAGACATCTTAGATTCCCAGCATAATCTCAATATTGTGACCCAAACCCACCAGCAGGCCTATCCTGTCTCCTTTGGTCTCTCTCTATCCAGCTCCTCTTCCACAGCCTATAGCTATATCGATGCTCTAAATGCTAACACTGCGATGTATACAAGCACAACAGCATCATTTTTTTTTTTTTTCTTTTGCCTTGTGATAGACATTCAGATATTTTCCCTGGTACTATTTTTTCCTGAGCAAATGGTATCTTGTGGGACTAACTGTTTGGACAAGGAGTTTTTCCAAATTGCAGTTTATATAAACTGTATGTCTTCATCAGCCAGATGTGCATTAATGATGCCTGTGGTTGGATTTTCAGCATGCTTGTCTGATGGCTTCTCCTGGGGCTTGCACAAAAATGGCTTGGAAATGGAACATTTGCAAAGAAGCAGATGCTGGCAAAAGAAAGCATTACAATAAGATGTAAAATATGTGCACTGTAATTTATACAGGCAACTAGCTTCTGGAAAACTTGACCTCTGTCCAGCAGAGGACAGAAACCTAACCAAAGAGACCCCTGAAGCAGTGAGTGGTACCCAGTGGGACAGAGGTGGAGGGACTAATTATATTTTTGCAGCTGTTACACCAATGCTGGAAGTATGTTGGTGACAAATGACTTTGTGGTGGACAGCACAGTAGTTAATATAGGAGAAAAGCTAGTGTACACTGTGGTTTGACTGCTTATGTGCTATTAGCATTATAATCAGGTGTGCAAGGGTGACTTTTCTCTTCAGGGGTCATTGCTAGCATGCA